GTCGCATGCGTGAACTGGTCACGCTATTTTAGGCCATATTCTGTTTCATACAAATTAAACGTTAACATGATCAATAAAATAGACAAAAATAGTTATTTTAATCGACCACGCCCCAATGCAATGGCGGATTTTCAGGGCCCATGCCGTATAGTAGTAATAGGATACAGATCAGTTAGCTATTTAATAGCCAACTGACCTTTATCGCGTAGTACCAGATGTTATTGGATCCTTCATTAAATTATCAGTTAAACTATAGGAAAAGTAGCCTACGATGAAGCTCTCGGGTAGAGGAGAGAGAGCGAAAGAGAACTTGCAAAGATGTCTCAGAATTTGGAATGCCGCGCCCAAACCCCCCGCCGCTTCCAGTTGTCCACCTCCCACTCCAAGAGAGCTTGCTCGCAGGCTATAGGATCGGAAAAGGCGACTTACTGACATAACATCCCTCTGTATAGAGCATAACGTCTAACAGCGTGATTTGAATGCGTGAAACGTGATGTGTGACTTGCCTTAGTTGTCCCTTCCGGCAAGTTGCGTGATGTGACTTTTTCTGGGGTTTTCTGATCGGACGTTGATTCACCGCTTTTACTTCTTTCTACTGAATCCCCCATCTCTTCTTCTCCCATAAATGATCGATAAACTTTTACTTCGTGAAATTTCTTCGGCGTCGATTTTTCACAGTGCTTGGAATGTGGAAGACGGGTAGCAGAACTTTGTTCCCCTCTTTCACGCGCAATTTGCAGATATTTTAAGCGCAGGCTGCCTGGAGTTGTCTGTGTCGCATCGTCTTTTGTTCTTGTTCTTTGTGTCACAACACTCTGGTGAACACCCTTATCCTTTCCGCTATCGCACTGTGCAGAAAACAAGCCCTTCCTTCGCCTGCTTCCTTGAAAATTCATCGCCAAAGTACGTACTGTGGAAAAGAGAGAATACCAGTGTCACTATGACAACAGCTCATTGTATACGTCAGATTATTTCGCGCGCTAGAATTGATGACGCACACGGCGCATGAACAAACGAGTAGGTTGCTATGCTATTCTCGTTCCCAGAGCCAACATTTATTTTGGTCACGTGGTCGGCGATTAAAAAAAACCCGCGTGGATCTGGGAACGAGAATGGTTGCTATTCATTCTCGTCCCCAGAGCCTTCGTCTCGTTTGGTCAGTGGTTGTTTTCGACTTCAAAGAAAAAACGAAGGGCGCTGGGGACGAGAATGGTTGCTATTGAAAAACGTAATAAAGAAACAACATAACAAAAATATCAGTTACAAAATACGTTTAACTGTTTTCTTGCAACTTCTATGCCTTGACTGTAGGCTTTACCACATTTTGTTTCGGTTGTCTTGAAGACAAAGGCTTTCGGCTTTTAATATGCCGGAATATGGCTTTGAGCAAGACGACGGAGTCAATATTACAATATTTAATTATTTTAGTGGTCCGCGCGCGGCTATTTTGGAGGTAAGATGAGGATAACCCTAACGGTATTAAAACACCTAACCCCCTTTATCACGACGGCTACCGCTTCACGCCATCAGACCACTAAATTAAAGATAACTATAATTTCGTTCATTCGATGTCTTACATGGACTTACTGATAACATCTTTGACCGCCTTCCCGCCGCTTTCTTGAATCAGGCTTTTGCAACCGAATTTAAAACAATTATTTTTATGTTCTTGATTTTATGCAATGCTTTATATTTTCGCATTTTTCTAATATCAACATCATGGTTTCATTTCCGCTTCTTTCGTCGCATAAAGTCTTACTTGTTGATGATTTTTTTGTCCGGCATATCTTTCAATCGATCTGAAATTTTTTTTTCTTGTGCTTGACTTTGAATTGTGGCGGAAGGAACTGGTACAATTAAAATATTAAATAATGGAAAATACTGCACTCAGTATGTATGCGTTGGTTTTGTTTACGAAAAAAACACTACAGTAATATTTTAGCCCAATGACGGCCACCGAAGTTTTACAGTATTTTGACTTGCGGCTTCGTAGTGGTTCAGGTAAAAGACTTGTGGAGCAAAAATATGGGTCAAAATTAACTGATTAAGAAATAGTTTTTCTTAAAATGTATTAACTAACCTCAGAAAGCCTCAGTCTTTTTGACAAGCTTGTCTTCAGAAGAAAAGCTTTTAGTTGACCGGGAGAAGCGCGGAAGCAAAGCGAAGGTGATAAGAAGGCAACGAAATTGTTCATGAGTGATTATAATCAGTTTTTTGTCTTACTGTGTTTGATTTTCTTATGAACAAACATTCTCTTTGTGCGCTCTTTATTCCCTAGTAACGGTCATTCATAATTGTTTACATTGTCCCGGGCTTCCGTTTGAAACAATCACCCGCCTTTCAATGGCTTTTTTGTTATCATCTTGAATGAAAGTCATGAAAGGTCGAAGGGTTTCTTTAACTTCAAAGAAATCGTTTTCTATCTCCGTACTCAAAAGTAAACTCACGTTTTTCACTGAAGATTGAAATCAGTTTCAGTTTGTTGGATATTCAGCTTCTGAATCTGACTCCGAAGAAGATGTATCACAGACTCGCAGATCTATCCCATTCTACCCAGCGTGCGTGTCCATGTATTCACACCCCTTCCTCGCTTAGCGGTGAAAATAACAATTAAACCTGAAAAAATATAAGGTACTAATTTTATTGCAAAAAGTGTAACAATTTATCAAGGAACTAAAGATATACAGCTGTCTGATTGCTGTAAAAAAAGACTGAAAAATACATGTGTTTTGAAAGCGCGCAATGAGGCCGGCTTAATTTGTATTGGCGGAATTCAATTCGATTCATGCCCAGCCAGAACCTAGTTGTCTCTGGGTAATACTGCAGGACTTATATTCTCACTTGAAGATCTAAGTCAGCCGGTTTCAGTATTTTTTATTTATTTTCTGATTGAAATTTTGTACGCAAAATGTAACTTGACAAAACACGAAACGCGCGTGGGCGGAACACAGTCATAAACAGTCAGCGGAATCTAGTAGTCATGCGCATTGTAGGCACATATTAATTTACAACGATTGTTGTCGACTTACTTTGTACTCAATTTGCGAGGGCTTTTCATCTGCGAATTTTTCGGAAGCTCTCAGCGAACTACTTTAGTTTTCAGCGTCTCTTTATAACTGGCACTAAAAGATCCATTTGTTTGAAAAACTCAACCCACAACGCTTTCAAGTGTATGTTGCTTTCAGGTAAGTTTTAACCAATTTTCGCCTGGCCTTTGCATGAAAAGCTCCGTCCTTCATGCGATATGAGCTTTTTATTACTCCTTGTTCTAGAGTGTCGCTTAGGGCGTTTTCTGTCTGAATTTCTCTCTGCTTGGCTTATGTTCAAAGAATTATTACCTTTCCATAGCAGTTTCTGGTCGAGAAAGCAATTTTCATGCTTTATTTCGTGTAATTTCATCCAGGAAATTTTAATACCCCGTCTTCCTTCATGACGCAAGTGCTTTATAATTTGCCTACTGAACGCAAGAGTGGACAACGAAAATCGTTATTATTCTACCCCCTTTTCGTTTAGGGGAGCATAGCTTCGCGAAAGTTAGTCGTTTCGATATTTTGAAATTTCAAGCCTTTGTGAAATAACTAAGGTACGCGGGGATAAGTTTCCGTTCCTTCATACAGGAACCATCGACTTGAAGAGACGGCCGGCGAAAGGTTTGCAATAATTTAGAAAAACATATCTATCCCTGAAGGTTTGACAGCAGAATTTTGTATAGAAGGACTAATTCGAAGTCTATTTCGGCGCCGTATCGCATTTGAGTTGTGTTGCTCTGTCCTATACATCAGGACGGCGCTGAATTCTTTCAGAGAAGTTGCTTATTGCTTAGCGATCTCGAGTAAGAATGTTTATTGTTCATGGTTCTTTTAAACGTCGAGGGCTGTTAATGTTTATTGTAGTCATCTGAATAGTGATTTGAAAACGAGATTTCATTGTCAGAGGTTGTAGTGCTCGACGAATGTAGTCGCTATATTCCAATCTCTCTGTACTCTTTATACAACACACTATACCCACTGAAATTGTGTTCAGGTAAAAGCTCTAGCTATCATAGAAGATTTTGAACACGTTCTTGTGGAGAAGTACGAAAATTATAACGCGTTAAATGAAGAACCATTCACTCTGTAGTTCTTGCCTCGGTGTTTTGCCTTTCAAAGGCCTCGAATTTTTTTTATTTCTGGGAGATCTCAAACGCCAGTATTTCAGGCATAGGATCAATCTCATGATATCCTTTATGGTCCATTTATGATTGCAAAAATTCCATAAAGCTCTTCATATAATGCACATGTATTTCAAGAATTCATCTTTTCACCATCCATACCTCTTCCTCTGTTTCTCCTTTTTATTCAGAAATGTATTTTTTATTCAGAATCAATCAAGTAACAAATCTGAAATGAACAAAGTATTCCTTCATGTAAGTTACAGGAACCCTTTACAGGTCAAAGTTGGTGAAAGTTGAGATATTGAATTATGTGCTAAAGAACATGGCATTACATGTAGCTTTCTGCCAAAGAAAATGTTTTGACAAACTGTTTTTATTTGCAGAGCTCTTTAAAATTTTCATTTTTGCACTATCGCTATTTGTCAACACTGCTGGAACTCAGGAGTTCTTTGTTCATCAAGCACGTGCAGATAACTAAAGCTCAAATACTGTACAACTAAAACAAGCTTATTATTTAGCCAGAAATTGATAAGTGGTAGCCCAGAAAGCTTCACTCAGGACCCAAAGTGCCCAACTTGGCACATGGGGCTTCTCCCAGAAAGCATACATGTATGTATGTACATTGTACTTCTCTGTAATAAAATTTTAAAAGCTTCTGGCGGCAAATTTTCCTTTCAGACTCCCTTACATGTAGGTGAATTCCATCAAAAGTGGAGACTTTCATGAACTGCCAGACTCCCTCCTGGCTAAAACCATGCTTTAAAATAACAGTTACCAATGAAAATAATAATATTATTAGTTCACAAGTTTAATTTTTTTGTGCTCATTTATTTCTTTTTTTGTGGGAGACACTGTGACGTAATGATTAGCGCGTTGGCCTCCGGATTGAGTGGTCCAGGTTTGAGCCCTGACAGGGTCGCTGTGTTGTGTTCTTGGGCAAGACACTTACATGTAACTCTCACAGTGCCTCTCTCCACTCAGGAGTATAAATGGGTACTGACGAACTGTTAGGGCAACCCAACAAAATGCTGGGGGGATAACCTTGTGTTGGACTAGCATCCCACCCAGGGGGAGTCGCAATACTCCTAGTCGGCTTCATACTACGGAAACCGGGATAAGCACCGGCAGTGTGGGCCAGTTTGGTCCTGAACATCTTAAATTTCGTTTTTAGTATGATTATTGTTGTTTGGTAGCAATATACAATGTTGACGTCAGTTTTTTATGCGTCTGTCCTGTTATTGATCATGAATTTCGTCATAATATTGTCAAAGTAGCTGTGATCCACGAGGCGAATTACAATAACAACAGGCCAAAGCGATCTAGCGTAGACTTCAGACGAGGAGAAATGCCAGGCAAAAGTGAATTTAATTTGTTTTAGCCGAAACGATTCCGAGAATCACTGGCTTCGTGAACTTCAAACTACGTACAATAACTCAAGAATAAATTTCTTAGACCGATTTTCTGAAACCAACCTTTATTCCATTCGGAAATTCTTGTAAACCCACTGAAATATTTCCAAATTCAGTCCACTTTTATCAGTTGTTTTGAAGTTACATATGTACACGCAGCAAAATAAACAGATTCCATTCCAGTCAACTTCAGCATCCAACTACAACAAATACTTTTCTCTTTCGCTTTACCGTTGAATTAAATCTCAGTCAGCTGATTGAAACGCCACCTGTGAACATCTGTTGATGATTTATGCCTCAAAGAACTCTTGTTCAGATGTAATTTGTCCACTTTATCGAGAACTGACAACACTGCCATTTTGGCGAAAGTTTCAAGATCTGCGTGCGATGACGTCATTCATGTGTCTGTCAATGTTAGCCAATTAGCGCGCAAGAATTTTAGTTATTGTTTTAGTCATTGTAAAATAATGTTGTTGTTTTTTAACAAACAGCAGTGCATTTAATAATTATTATATTTTCCTTGCTTTGTAGTCCATAAAAATAATGTCAGAGCAATCATGTTTTGATTTGCCAATTTACTGCACCTTCAATAACTTTCAATAACTTGGAAGGTTTGACTGTATGAAGTAACAGAAGGTGACATGTACATGTATGCGCCTACAGTATATATGCCTTGTTTTTGGCCAAAAATAAGATTATCAAATAAAGCTCTCCTGGAGGTCTACAAGGAAAGCAAACCCAGGAAAATATAATAAGAGTTGCCATTGAAAATCAGTCACGTGACCACTCAGAAGCATTAGTTGGTTGTAATATTGTACTGTACAGTCGAACCTCTCCTTACGGACACCTCTGTAATATACAGACACCTCTCTGTTACGGACATTTCCCTTGGTCCTGGCAAAATGCCCATAGTTTCTCTATAAAGAAACTATAATTTTACAGACCCTCTCTAATAAGGACAACGGACACTAAATCTCAGCCCCAGAGAGCAAATTCATGTAAATTTAATATCTTTATTATGGACACTCCAGTGATGACAGTTCATATTCAATACAATTTCCTGTTTATGGTTACAGATCATTACACATTACAGGCTAACTTAACGCAAAATTATTAAAAAGGACTTAAAAAGAACTTTCATTTTGAACTAGTTACTGTTCATACATTTCTTTTTCTGATGCAACATTGCGTTTTGTTTGTTACCCCTTAATACTGTTTGTGATGCACCTCAAAGACATGTTTGGGTCAGATTTGTCTTAAAGAACATTTGCCATCAGTGGACACCTCTCCAATACAGACACTTCAGTGTCCGTATTAGAGAGGTTCACAGCTGTATTTGTAAATACCATAATTCTGTGATTTAATCTGTTAGGTTTAATGATGGGTCAAAGTGACACTGAAAGTACATCGTCATCCATGAGAGGAAATCCAGGCTCGCCGCGAGACATTTCTGTTCTCCTAGATGAACCTAATACAGATATTTCAAGTTTTCACCATCCAGGCCCAATATCACCGTCAGCGTCAACCTCATCTAGTGACACCAGTGAACTTGATAATTCAGCGATAATGGCAAACCAGACACCTAAACGCTCAGATATTCCTGTCATTGACCTTACATCTCCTGACGAGGGCGACAGCAGTGCGGCAAGAGCACAGGGAGATGCAGCAGCTGCTCCTCCGTGGTAAGAATACTCAGCTCTTTCAGCCTCCAAGCTCAAGATATCAATATTATTATTCTCCTTACCAACTGCCATACATTTCTTTTAGTTTCGAGAATTTGGTGCTACATCAAGAATTATCTATAGCTGATGATTTTCTTTGTTTGTGTTAACTGTCTGCTTCATAACAAATCGGCTGATACATGTACAGTGGATTCAGGTTGAGCGTTTAATGGGTTAGTTGTCTCGGTTGATTGATTGCGTTGCGAGGCAAAATGACAGCCGTTGCTAGGCGGGAATGACAACGTTCTGTCTGGGAAAAAGCATGTTGTCGCTCGTCCAGACAGAACGTCGTCATTCCGCCTAGCAACGGCTGTCATTTTGCCTCGCAACGCAATCAATCAACCGTGACAACGAATGCGACAACTAAGTCTGACCGTTAAAACGCTCAACCTGAATCCGCTGTATGTTCAGGAGAAATAGCCCTTTTCACGGTTAATTTGCGATATTTGCATAACAATACACTTGAACATAGAAGCAAGGCAATTTCGGGGCACAAGCTGCAAAACGTTGTGTTTTTCATGGCTCCTTCAACTCTTTTAGTATAAAAACAGTTTTAAAATGTAGAAGAACTACAATTCTTTTAGTTTACGTTGTTTTTAGAAAAAATTGTAAAACAACTTTTCTCTATTAATAAAGAGTAGACTCACATAAGTAACAGGGAGATCGGATTACGATCTTTACGGCAAACTTTAACTAAAATGGTTGCGTATTTAGTTCTCTCCATTTTAAAACTATTTTTTATGCTAACATAGTTTTAAGGAACTAAAAGGACAACAGCCACGGCAAGCTATATCTAGTATTTGACCACCTACTTTCCTTGTGTAGCCGGCTGCTTCAAAGCTTAATGACAGCCCTCGGTCTGATAGCAGGGTAGAACTTCAGTTTACTGAATTTTTGTGTTATTTATTTTTCAGTGAGGACTTTGCACAGTTTGCTTCCAGTTTCCGTTGGCGTCTCCAACCACGAGATTCCAGAGGTCAGCGTGTACCTCTCAATGAGAATCGTTTGCGTTCACGCCGGTTTCGAGGCAGGCACACCCCTTATACAAATTTATGGGAGCGTGGTCCTTCACCTGTAGGCAGACATGAAGCTTTGTTTGCAGAATTTCATGCCGACCTTGCACCAAGACCAGTTCCTTCTGGTGATAATAACACTCCTATTGTTATTGATGATGAGGTAAGAATCCTCAAGCTTTTTATTTACTTGAATGTCTGTTAATACGAGTTACAGTAAAAAGGTTCAAGTCTGTATACAAGCATAGTGGCTGGCGCTCAACTCCAGTTTCCATAGCATGAAGTGACTAGAAGTACATGTTTGTATCGCTTCTCCCCTGGATTAAATGCTAAATGCCATATGAGTCTCCATGCAATTTGTCCTGCCACATGGTTACCAGGCTTTTAGCCAAGATTTGAAAAGTGGGTTTTCTGGGGTGTGTCCCTCAGAAATTTTGTTTGAAACAGGAGTTATTTTTTCTGTGACTTCCTCCAGAGACTAGGCATCCACAGGACAGCCCAGATGCTAAAAGCCTGACTCGTATCCAACAGAATATAGTTGAACTTCCGCTAACAGACACCACTCATAAGCAGACACGTACATGTACATGTAGTCATGTTCCCAGCTACATACAAACACTACACCTCTCTTTTTCTGGTCCCAAGGGTGTCTGCTTATGGAGGTTTACATATACCATAATTTCTTTCCACATTGAACTGCTGTTATTTGAATGTGATATCTTTTACTTTATTATTTTACTTTGGCCTAGTTCCCATTTTGAACTTCAGAAAGGCTATTAAATAAAATGAGAAAAGCTACTGCCTGGCTTAAACTTTTGACATGTTCATTTCTTGAACAGCAGGGTATCAGAGAGTTAAGTTTTCTGAAGCTATAAGCTATAACACATTTCAGTACTCCAGAATGCTCCAAACTACATTTTTGGTTTCTAAAGGTTTTATGTTAATCAACACAAACCAGAATTTCCCCTGACTTTCTCAAAATCCTGGAAAGAGTGCTGAAGTTAATTGTTAAAAGTAAACGAAGAGTTCTTCATTGTTTCTACAGCGAGCGGCTGCTTTTGCACAACACCAAGTTCCACCTAGTGATGCACCCAGTTGGTTCCTGTCAGACAGACAGCATCGCATCCATGAACGATTCCGTCGCCGCCTCAATGCATCCAGGCAACCTGCAAGATGCTACCTTCAATCTGATGAAGCTCTTGCTCATAGATTACAACAGGTGAATTGATCGATCTACTTGTTTTATTCACTGTTTATATCAGTGAACCATGGGTCTATAGTGGCAGGCTTTTAGCCCGAATTCAAAAAGTGGGCATCCTGGAGGCACCCCCATCCCCCCCTCCCCTCACACATACATTTGTTATAGCTTTGGTGCATTTTTCATCATTTTGAAATAAGTTGCTTTTTTGTCCAAATTTTGCGGCTATTAATATTAATTTATGCTAGTTAATAATTAACTAATTAATATATTATGGGTTTCTTTGGGAAACAAATATTTTCCAGAAAGTTTATTTACTACCCTTTCAAAAGAGATATAGCTTTCCACGCAATTGTAAATGGCTGTTGAGAAAATAAATAAACAAACACTAGTATCAAATTTCACTGTTTTGAGGCGAGCGGCAATGAGTTCTTTAAACGTAATTTAAATTTCTTAAGATTAGTATCCCCGTCTAATACGTAGTTCGGCAAATTGTTCCAAGGACGGATGATCCTCACAAAGAAAGAGTACTTGAAGCAATTCCATTTTGCTGATTTAGTTTGAATTTTGTATTGGTG